AGGAGACTGACTAGCGCCTCTTGGCTTTAAAGCAGTCACCCTAATCAAGTTAAATTCAGGCTCTTCCTCAGCGATACTTCTCATTTAGCTAGGGTCTTTTCATTTGGAACAGTATGGTTATGGCTTCAGGGAATGACTCTGTGACCATTAATGTTTGTGCATTTGTGACACACTTATTATCTACCCATTTATGTCTTGTAGGGTTTGAACATCCACGTAAGACATGATTTGGTACTGGATTAGGCACTGGTGTTGGAGATAGCATTCTGAACCACCTTATTTCCTTCCCACTCTTGTGAGTCCCTTTGGCATTAATGTTTAATAATAACAACCTTCAATTGCCTCAATTTTCATCTCTGGTCCAGCATTTATTCTGCATCACTAATTGTTCAACTTTCACTCTAAGCTCACACTCTTTGACCACTTAATGATAATCTTTGTCTGTGTACCCTGAAACCCAGCTTCTAATTTGTTAAAGAATAGTTGCAGATGTTCCTCTCTATTCAAAGTACTACTTCAGATTATAATTATCTTCTTCATAGATTACAAATGTTTTCACTGAAATTTCAATCAAGTTCTAAAGCAGGGGTGTCCAGTCTTTTCGCTTCCCTGGGCCATACTGGAAGAAGAAGAATTGGGCCACACATAAAATACACTAACACTAAAGATAGCTGATAAGCTAAAAAAAATTTTTTTCAAAAAAATCTCATAATATTTTAAGAAAGTTTACAAATTTATGTTGGGTAGCATTCAAGCCATCCTAAGCCACATGCACCCCACTGGCTACAGGTTGGACAAGCTTGTTCTAAAGTATTTGTTTTCTTATGTAGTTTTTCTTTATTACTTCTTTCTACACAATGAACTTTTTTGTTCTCTTTTTCATTTCTTTTCTGCTAAATACAGTTCTTAAAATTTACAGCAGCAGTATCAGATTCTTAGGAAATAACTTTCAAAGGAAACACTTGTTTACTGAACTCTGGTGATCATTAGGTATACATGATGCCTTCTTTCTAAGATTTCAGTTTGCCTTGGAAATGCCTGTTCATCATAGCAAAAGTGAAGAACTCTACAAGTTTTCTTTGTTTCTAATCCAGTTATACAAACAGATATTTTATTTGTTGAACACCAGACACTGTCCTGGGCACTTTAAGACTATGATGGTTAATTTTATGTGTCAACTTGACTAGGCCATGGAGTGCCCAGATATTTGGTCAAACATACTCTGGATGTGTCTGTGAGGGTGTTTTGGGATATGATTAGCATTTAAGTTGGTAGACTGAGTAAGGCAGATTGCACTCTCTCAAATGAATGGGCCTCATCCAATCAGTTGAAGGCCTGAGTAGAACAAAAAGGGTGACCCTCCTTCAAGTAAGAAAGAATTTTCCCTGCCAGAATATCTTCAAACTGAGACACTGGCCCTTCCTGAGTCTCAAGCCTGCCAGCTTTTAAATGGAAGCTATACCACTGGCTCTCCTGGTTCTCAGGCCTTTGAACTCAGACCAGAACTACACTATCAGCTCTCTTGGATCTCCAGCTTGCTGACTCAACCCGCAGATCTTGGGGCTTGTCCACCTACATAATGACATGAGCCACTTTCTTATAATACATTTATTTGTGTATATATGTTATATATATATATATATATATATATATATATATATATATATTACACACACATACACATCCTATTGATATCTATACAGCTTGCTCCCTTACTTCCTAAGATTCTCACTCAAATATATTCTCAGTGAGGCCTACTCTGGCCATCTTATCTAAAGCTACAGCCTTCCCTCATACTCCCTAGTACTTTTCCCTGCTTTTTTTTTTTCTTCCTTAGCACATATTATCTAACATACTATGTATTTTACCATTTGATTTTGCTTCTTTTCTGGCTACTTCACTAGAATGCAAACTCCATAAAGGCAGATATTTTTGTATTTTTTTTTTTACTGCTGTCTCCCCAACACCACAGTACGTAGCACATATTGTTGAATAAATGAATACGTGACCACATTATTTTCATTTGCATCCAAATGAGTTGTACTGAATGTGCATTTCAGTTGCACTGAAAAAATTGAACTCTTGATTCAAAAGGGTATCTGCAACAGGTCTCCTTCTGTCTGGTGTCTATCAAACATCTCGACAGCTTCTTCAGAAGGTAATCTCACTGCTGCCTTAGTAAATCTTGCAATGTACACACTGTGGATCTTACCTTCAGCAAGCATTTTCAATTGTGGGGCTTTGTGCTTTGTTGGCTCACATGGCACTTCCTGCAATAGAGCCCATATGGAGATGTGCACATTTCCCAAGCATGATGTCATTGTGAACCTCTGTTTAACAAGAACTCTTTTATTCTCATTATAGCTGCAAGCTTTGGATCTACCTAAAGTTTTTGTAATAAGAGCTTTTTCTTTTCTGATCACCAAAAACCAAGACTCCTTCCCTCAAAAATGCAATCTATTCATATCAGAACTGAATCCTGAGAAATTTGAGTGTCCTACCCTTTCAGTTCTTCTCATTCTCCAAGTGACTACTAGTCTGGGCAGGCTGCCCCTGTTATGTGCTACCATAGAACTTGGTACTCTTATCATAGCCCTGTCATTACTTCTTTACCTGGCTTCCTCTCCAGCTATACCTTGAGCTCCATGAAGGCAGGGCCGAGTCTGTCTTGCTCATGACTCTATCTCCAAGCACACAGAATGCATGGCACACAGCAGGAACTCAATAAATGTTTGCCAAATGAATGAGTAACAAACCCAGGTAAACTTGAGTCTCACGTATTTCAAAAGAAAAAAGTGAATCATAAGCAAGACATAATTTTTTAAAAATAAGCATAATCAATTCATATATATCACAGAACACAATTATTTTCTTTAAAAAGTAAAGAAAATGCAACAAGAGTATTTAGCACTAGTGAAATTACGATTTGATTTTTTTCTTTATCCTACATATTATTTACCAAATTTCTTATAATAAGTGTATTTTACTTTTATAGTGGGAAAAAATAACATTATAAATTATAAAATAAAAAACCCTACAAATTATCTTCACCTCTCACCTCTTTTCCTCAAAATATACAAAGTATCATACACTGCAAAATACGAACATTGGGGTTTTTCTCTCTGCTTGCTGACAGGTGAATAACAACATGGAATTTCTGTCTTATTTAGCACCAACAGAAGTATATGTTGACAAAATAACCCAAGTTGCAAACTTTATGTAACTTTAGGATCTGAAATCCCACCAGTGTATTGGGTATGTTTTTAAAGATTCTGTAGAAACTATTTTTATTAAAAAGAATTCAGATTCTGGTTTGATGCACAAAAACAGAAGTCAGCTTTATTTCATATTTAAAAGTAAATATGACAAAAATAAGAATCAATTTTTAACTTTCCAAAATGCTCCATCAGGTTTGGATGGCTGAGACTGTCCCCTCTGCTCTGGATAGCTTATGTTGTCTCGAGGGGAAAATAATACTCTGGGAGAAAAGTAAAGTAGGGTTACATGACTTGAAAGGACTAGTATTCACATAGCACACTTTGTCATCAAAGGAATTCCCTGCAACAAAATTATCCAATTCTATATAGTGAATGTTATGATTAACTTACGTATTTTCAGTTTGCCAGCACATCATCTTCTGTTACTGTGAGGCATACATATAAAATAGACTATAGCAAATATCATTACAGAGATAATTTCTGAATAACAAAGTTAACTTCCATGTCCCAGTGAATGGGCCACAGAAACCAAGTTTTGTTAGTCTAGTTATAATGTTATATATGTATATATATATATATATATATATGTGTGTGTGTGTGTGTGTGTGTGCATGTGTACGTATGCACACATGTATTGGATTAAATTAATACAAGGTAATATTTCATATGAATGATAATACACAGGCATCATTATAGTAATATATATTTATGTGTTACCTTAAATAGACAATATGTATCAAATATATATATAAAGATTTTCTTTTGTTTCTTCTGAGATAAATCACTTTTCCTATTCATCAAATCAACCTTCTCATTTTGAAGATTGGTGAAATGAGTCCCAAGAAAGTTAAAGAACTTGCTTAAGCATACACTGTAAATAATGGCAGAACTACAACTGAAGCCAGAGTCTCCTGACACTGAATTCAATGGTGTGTTATTCCATTCCTTTGCTTCTCTGTAGCTTAATACCTTAATTTTGGGTAATGCATTCCAATTTTCAAAACATTTTCACATATAGTATATTATTTAAGTTACACAAAAAAATCTAAGATGATGGTATCAAGGAACTGAAAGGTTAATTTCCTTGCCCATAGAAACACTACTATTTAATGACCTGGGTCTCCTTACCCCCAGTCTCTGAGGTACACCTTTGTTTCTCACCAACCATTTCATTCTTACTTGGCCCTACACAGTTATTTTGGAAGGAGGAGACCCAGGTCAAGGCTAGGGATCTGTAAGCCTATACAAGTGTGACCTGTACAGGTAGTCCCTAGTATATGATTCTGGGATCCCTCTCTCAACTTATTCTAACACTACGTGGTGCAGGTTTGAAGAACAGGTAGCTGAGACTAACGGCTAAGATCCAGGATTCAATCTCAGTTCTGTCAGACTCCTAAGGCCATGCTCCTTCCCCTGCATATGTGATGTGGCCACGTATGAGGACTATGGCCTTTATCAAGGGTGTCTATCAGGGAGCCACAGAGTCAGAGTGGGCAGATTCAACTTCTTTGCCCCCTCTGAAAAGCTGACCTGTTTATACCATATAAGGTGGCACCAAAACAATTGGCACATTTCTTATCCATTTTCCTGCTATCTAAATATCCCTAGTGACAAATATTTGTTCAGAAGCTGACCCTCCTGTGATCCAAACATTTGTGTGATCAAAAAAAAAAAAAAATATGTAAGTCAAACCAAGATGATCGTAGAAATATAAAGCTAAGAAGAATCAGAGATTGAGCACTTCAACTTTATATCCTATTGTCAATTACCTTTGGTCTCTTGCTACTCCTCATCATCTTTCTCGTCTCCTCCTGCTCCTTTCTGTTCCTTCTTCCTCCTTCGCCCACTTCTTTGTTTCTTCAAACTCTTTTCAACGTTTTTGACATTGCCTTGCAAATAATTGGCCCGTTTCCTGTAACATAAAAGTTCAAGTGAAACCTTATTTCTCATTAGTGATAGAGTAACAATGGGAGGGTTATAAGGAAAAAGATATTTGCCCAGATAACTACACTTTCCCACCTGATATTTTTAACTCACCAGATTTAATAAATCTGATAGAAATTACTCCACTTGGCTGCTCATATGGATCATCATAGTCATCATTATTATTCTCTATACAGTCATTTTGATTATGTGACCTTCCATAACAGAAATGCTCTCCTACTTCCCTGTGCTGACATCAGTGTTACCCACTCTTTAACACCCAGTTTAGAAATCATCTTGTCTTCGAAGCCTTCTCTTCCACTCCTAGTTTAGAGGGATTCCCTCCTCCTATGAACTTCAAATCTAAATAGTAATAACTCACATTATATTAGCATTTACAATTTTCAAAGCACTTTCACTTACTACTGTTGCCGTTGGGTATACAATCTCGTACCTCCTTGTGTTTGTGTGGATAGTTGGTAAAGAGGCACTTGAGAGGCTACCACATGCCAAGAACTTCACTAAGTGCTTTATGCACTTATCTCATTTAATCCTCACAACAACCCTAGAAGGTGGATAGTGTGTTTTCTATTTTGCAAATGATTAAACTGGGGCTTAAAGAGGTAAAATAATTCACTCAGGGTCACAGATTGCTAGTAATGGAGATGCTAGAATTTAAACATAGATCTGTTTGACTCTAATGTACAAGATTTTCCATTAGACCACTTTGCAGTATGAGTGAATAATGGCTAACAGCAGGTATGATAGACTTCCTATGTGCTGAGGCCTGTACACAAGCACTTCATGTGCATGATCTCATTTAATCTTCATAATGACTTGATGAGGCAGGTACTATTTCTATCATTTTCATTTTTCATGTGGGGAAACTGAGGCACAAAAAGGGAAAGTAACTTTCCGAGGTCATCAAAGTAGAGCCAGGATTCAAATCCAGACCTATCTAAATCTAAAGTACAATCTCTGTCCTACTACACTACACTAACCTGTCTCATTCTCCCCTCAAAGCTTGTAAATTCCTTCAGACTGGAACCTTGCCTTATCACTTTTTATATCCCACAGAGGAAATAAAAATGTTAGTTGATTTTATAAGAAACAGTTGATTTTTATGCTTATAGGACTTTTACTTTCTAAAGAACTAACCGTAATCCAAGAAGAAAAAAAAGTAGTAATGTTCATGGCAGAGGTAAGAAGGAAAATCCAAAGACAGAAAAAAAGAGAGAAAGATTTGCATACAATATTATGAAGAAGTAATGACATAAATAATCCTATCCTCATCTCATATTAGGTAGCATACAGAACAAGATACCAGGACCCTGTAAGTGCTACTTAGCTATACAGAAAAACAAGATCCTGCACATGTAGGTCCTAGAGATAGATAAGTCTGCCTTTGAAATTATGACTTTGAAGATAGTTACTAACTTTTCTCCCCTAAAACTATATTACTAGGTTGACACTGAGCTCCACTAGGTAAGAAAGATGTGGAGCAAAGAAACAAATCTTTTCCCAATTAATCATAAAAATGTCTCCAGGCATAAATGAAATGGTGAGGGCCAAAAATATATTTATGATTTATCCATGGCCTGTTTATGTTGCCATGTTGCGAACTGCAGCCTCAAAAAAATAATAACTGAAACAACTACACTGTTCTCAGTCCCTTGGGGCCAGACGTGTTTGAGACTGGAAGCTTACCTATCACTTCAGACTGGAACCTTACCTTATCACTTTTCTAAAAAGGTAAAATAATATGATACACTGAATATTACATAACATTCCCATGCGGTCTGGGGCAGCATCTCATAATCAAACACAGTAACATTTCTGCAACAAAATATATAAATATTCACTTTAGGAATTAAATAATGACCAGAAGGAATCTCAGTCCAGGTTTGTTGCAAAATGAGTACAACAAAGTTTTTAGGTTTGCAGAAATGTTTGAATTTCAGGATTTTAGAGACATTGGGAACTTATGCTTTCTTCTAATGCTGTGATGTCCATATAGCCTACTTTATATAATTAAAATGACTATGTTTTCTTTATCCACAGATGTTATTTTAAATTTGGTCATGTATATTTTACATTAATTAACAACAAAAAAGCAACATGGCCTTATTACTTCAAAACTGGCCTAGGTTTCAGAGGGCTTGGTTTTGGTTCAGCCTCATCACTAACTGGCTATATGACTAACATTTACTACTGAGATCCATGGTTAGATATTCTAATATCTAATGAAAATGCCCAACAGAGATAGTAGGAGTGAAATGATTTTTTCCACTGTCCTAGAGGTTGTTTTCTTTTCACATAAAGTGTCTTATATCATGGCTATCATACTCACACTGAAAAGTACAGGTCAATTTCTTGCATACTCATTCACTCACTGATGCATTTCCTCATTTATTAAATAAACATTATTCCAAATACTAGAGACATAAACATGAATAAGATATGGGACCTGTCTTTGAGGAGCTTAAAACTTAGAAGGGGAAGGTAGATATGTAGACTAACAATTATCTTACATTGAGATAAGTTCAAGTAGAGATGATCAGAGATTGGTAGAAGGCAGACAAGAAGAAGCCTGACCCAATGTGGTCAAGAGGATTGGAGTAAGCTTTCTAGAAGAGGTGACATCTAAGATGAGGCCTGCAGCCTGAGTGGAATGAGCCAGATAAAGAAAAGTGGAGGTGGGGAAATGCATAAGAACATTTCAATCAGTAGATACACTTTATGAGACTCAGAGTGACAAGGTGGCATGCTGCTTGTAAACATCAAGTAGAGTGGCATGGCTGGAAATGTTAAGTGAGCCCACTGGAAATTTCTAATGACACAGATCCACATAGTTGTGGGACAGTTTTTTTCTTCTAGGAATTCCCAGGGGCCTAGATCTAAGAGCAGAGAAGTGGTATGGATTCAGTTTCAATGAAACAAGGGGACCGGAAGCAAGAATGGATTAAAAAACTAGACAATGGGATCCAGGCTGAATTTAAAAAGCAGATGATGTTAAAAAAAGATGGCAGACCAGGAGAAATGAGAGCGTTAAAGAGGCTGAAGCCCTCAATGAGTTAAAGAACAGATGCAGCAAAAATAAAGCAAGGAAAAGGCTAGAGGACAAGGAACCTATGGTCAAAGAGTAGGATTTTGAACTTTAAGATTTCAGAGATTCAGAGGTTCAATTTTTAGTGAATAACAATGTTCAAGATGAGGGCATGAAACTGGGTGGCCAGTGATGAGTAAAGGGGCAATTCATCAGAATTGAATACATCAGGAAACTTTGTGGCTAGGGGCTCAAAGAAACAAAAACATGTATCATTGAAGGAATTTGTTGGGTGTTCTGGAATCTTAGGGGTTTAACATACCTGATCAGAAAGACAGAAATGGCATGAAGACAGAGCAAGATGGCAGAATAGAAGGCTCTACCAATTATCCCCACCCTACCCCACCACAAGAACACCAAATTTAACAACTACACAGAAAAAAGTACCTTCATAAGAACCAAAAATTAGGGGAGCACTCACAGTACCTGGTTTTAACTTCATATAGCTGAAAGAAGTACTGAAGAGAGTAGGAAAGACAGTACTGAATTGCCAATGCCACCTCTCCTCTATCCCCTAGCAGTGGCTGCATAGCACAGAAGGAGAACCTATGTGCTTGGGAGAGGAAGAGTGCAGCAATTGTGAGGCATTACATTGAACTCACAGCTGCCCCATCAAAGCAGAAAACAAAACCAGGCTGAACTCAGCTGATCCCTACTCACAGAGGGAGTATTTAAACCAGCTTTAGCCAGAGGGGAACCACCCATCCCAGTGATCGGAAATTGAATCTAGCAAGCCTTGCCACTGTGGGCCACAAGTTCAGTAGGGCCCTCAAATAAACTTGAAAGCCAGTCTAGGCCACAAGGAATGCAATTCTTAGGTGAGTCATAGTGCTGACTTGAGTTAAGAGGCAGTAGATTTGGGAGGCACAAAACCTACTGACACACTAGCCAGGGTGGCTAAGGGAATGCTAGTGCCACCTCTCTCCTAATTCCAGGCTGCAAAACTCACAGCTCCAAAAGAGGCTCCTTCCATCTGCTTCAGGAGAGGAGAGGGAAGAGTAAAGAGGACTTTGCCTTACATCTTGGATATCAGCTCAGTCACAGTAAGAAAGGGTACCAGTCAGAGTCAAGAGGTCCCCTTTTCAGGCCCTAGCTCACAGATGACAGTTCTAGCTACACCCTGAACCAGGAGAGAATGTACTGCCTTAAAAGGAAGGATCCAGTCCTGGCAGGACCTGCTGACCAAAAAGCCTTTGGGCCCTCAATAACAAGCAGTGATATCTAGGTAATATGCTGTGGACCTTGGGTAAGACTTTGAGACTTGCTGAATTCAGGTATGACTCAGCACATCCTCAGCTGTGGTGGCTACAGGGAGAGACTTTTTCTGCTTGAGAAAAACAGTAGGAAAAGTAAAGGGAACCTTGTCTTGAACCTTAGATACCAGCATAGAGACAAGGGAGTAGAGCCCCATGTGGACTTTTAGGGTACCCAATCCCAGGCCTTGGCTATTGGATGGCATTTCTAGACCTGCCCTAGGCCAGAGGGGAGCCCACTGCCCTGAAGGCTGGTGAGTCCCAGGCCAGGTAACATTCACCACTAACTGACAGAAGAGCCCTTGGGCTTTAAGGGACCATTGGCAGTACTCTCAGTGGGCCTGCAGTGATGGTTTTCACAGGGTAGGGCTCCTCTGCCTGTAGAAAGGGAAAGGAACGTGGAAATAACTGCACCTTGTGGTGAATGCCAGATAAACTGCAGTACTATAGGACACCAGGCATATTCCTAAGGTTTGACTCTAGTTCTTGGCTCCTGGAAGGTACTTCAGGACATGCCTGGGGCCTGCGGGAACTCACCACCCTAAAGAAAAGGATACAAGGCTGGCTGGCTTTGCCACCTGCTGTTTGTACAGCCCTAGTGCCTTGAGCAAACATAAGCAGTAGTCAAGT